AATTCGACCTTCGGAGGACCCGTCCTGCCGTTTTGGACACAGCCTTTGTCAGATTATTTGTGACTTTTGGATCGTTTTAAAAGCTCAGCATGACTCAAAACTACAATTCAAACCACATAAATAAGGATTAACCTGAAGACTTCAGCATTTATTTTTAAAGAAGTGAGTCGTGTCAAACATTACCTCCCTGGTTCCAAAAGTTAGTTTATCTTTACTCAAGTGTTGCAACGAGGAAATGTTTGACAGCTGAATGTGTTTTTGTGACTCTGACTTATTCACATTATCCTGTTGATTTAGATTATATTGTTACTCTCCCCCTTTTTTATCTTGTACCAGCTGAGTAAGGAGCTGCCACCCAGGATGGTGGGCRTCACGTGGCAGCTGGCCTACAGCACGTCTCGCCACGGCGCCAGCCTCAAGTCTCTGTACAGAAAACTGGGCGCCGCAGATTCTCCTGTGCTGGTTGTCATCAAAGACGCACTCGACGAGGTAAAAAGCTTTACCGTGAGCCATAAATACGCTGCTGCTTTGTTTGTTGCTGCTGCATTTCGTCACCCTGGCTCTGTCCCGACAATCTGTCAGGTTTTTGGAGCCTTCCTCTCTCACGCTCTCAGACCCAGTGAGGCATTCTACGGCACGGGAGAAACCTTCCTCTTCATGTTGCATCCTCGTTTCAAGGTAAGGAAGTGTGGTTTTAGGATGTGAAGGATCAAAAAAAAAAGGATGTAAAGGATAAAAAAAGGATGTAAGGGATCAGAAGTTTAAATTCCTTGCATTCCTTCAAGGAAGGCATATTACCCGCTGCTTTTTGTTAAAAAAACTTTAGACAGAGTTGTAGCTGTTTTGTCAAACATTGAAAAAAAAGATGAATAACTCTCAGCTACTACCACAACAGATTTTTAGCTCGGCATCCCTAAAACTGACTGAGTTACAGCCATTTTGTGTTAGCCGATGTTGATCAGCTAGGGTGGCCATCTTAAATTAAAAACACTCCAAAAGATAATCAGCTGTAGAAGTTCATTCATATATTCTTTTGTAAAAGTTTCATTAAAACCCATCAAGTGGTTTGTGAAATATCTTGCTAACAGACAAACAGGTCTGCCTCCAACAGTTAACTCTTAAGGATTTAAGCAAAGATCTTGTGCAACAAGTAGCGCTTGGAGTTTGTGTTATTAGTGACCATCAGCTACTAATGCACCAAAATTTTTGCTCAATACGTGTAAAACTGGTTGAATTATAGCCTTTTTGATGGTTTCTAAAGTCAGTTGGCTGTGGCGGCCATCTTGAATTTGATTAGTTCCATAAGTTAATCAGTTGTGATTGAACATCCAATGAATATTTCCTAAAAGTGTCAATGCAATTCATCCAATAGTTTATYAGGTATTTTGCTAACAGACACTCGWAACTCGCCTTTCGGTGCTGGGCGATAATTACACAGATTGCAGCTCCAGCAGTGAGCACAACTTTATTGATTTTGGAAAATAATCTGTTTGTTTCTTATTTCATATCGTCTGTCAGTGTTTCAGGTGGACTGGAGAGAACTCCTTTTTTATTAAAGGAGACTTGGACTCTTTTGCTGTTGGTGGAGGAAGGTAATGCCTCCCTTAACACCCCCCCCCCCCCCCACCACCACCACCTTGTTTTTGTCTAATTGCCTGTATGTTTCTTCTCCTCAGTGGTCACTTCGGGCTGTGGGTGGATGAGAGCCTGTATCGGGGCCGCAGCAGCCCTTGCTACACCTTCAACAACTGCTGCCTCGCTGAGACGGACGACTTTCGCATCATGGAGCTGGAGGTGTGGACGTTCAGCAGCTGAGGAGAAAAGGACTTCATCTCGTCTCACTGCTGAGCAGCTTTAATCAAAAAAAAAACATTTATCATTTATCACCAAGCAATTAAAACACTGAGCTGCTTCATTTCATGATGAGATCCATCTATAATATCAACAACTGGATTTATTCGTGATCGTGTCCTGTGGATTTTAGTGAACTTGGCGAGGCTCGGAGCCTGAGCGGGACTTTCAGGCAGCGGATTGCTTTTTAAGTGCTCGGCTCCTTCCTGTGGGTTTGGCGGTGAAGCTGAACTGGACTGAAACTGGATTCTTTGAATCCTCCTCTTTGAACGTCTCGGAGAATGCACTTTGCTCTCAATGTGAATTAGCAACTTCAATAGATTTTATAATTTATCCTGTAAATACGATGTCTGCCACGTGACCTAATAATAATAATAATAATAATAATAATAATAATAATAATAATAATAATAATGCATGACTGTGCTTTCATGGAACTGATCCGTTCACGTGTAACGAGGAAGAGATTTCTGTCCAGCCAACATTTTTCTCTTCTCAACCGCAAAATAATTTATTAGTCATCTTTTTCAGCGGACACGGCGTACATTATTACTGACTACATGGAGCTACGGTTTGAGAGAAGCTGAGATGAGTCTTTCATATCATTCCTTGTGTTTGAAACGCTGAGTCTTACACAATTGTTTCTGTATGTSGTAAGGATGATCATGTAGGCTGATTTTGCTCACTGTACAGTATTGTGGATAAGGTAATAAAAAACTTAAGATGATGTGTGTTTGAAGTCTTGATATGATGATAAAAATCTGATCTGGTACAAAAAAAAGGTAGTTTTGGAAGAAAAAAAATCGAAGGTTAGTTGTGGTCAACTCAAAACATGAACAAGTTGTAGATCTAGTGAATACTTGCTGAAAGTTTKAATAAATTCCCAAGTGTTTAGGAAATATTGTGCTAACAAAAATYGTGTCGGCACAAAGTTGCTGTCAACATTTTAAACAAAAGGTCAGGGCCCATGTTTATCAAACTTCTTAGAGTGGATTTTTAGACTTAAGTGCTGAAAATTTCTTAGATTTGCTCCTACTCTCAGACTTAAGTGTAAGTGCCAGTTAAGAAAATTCTTAAGTCTAAGAATCACTCTTACTCTCCCGAAAACTTAAGACTGCTCCAGAGGACTCTTATGTAGAAAAAATTACTACTACARTTCGCTTAAAGTAAGACTGAGACGCTTGATAACTGATTTTTACTTAAGTCCACTCTTAGCAGCATTCTTAAGAGTAATTCTAAGAAGTTTGATAAATACGGGCCCAGAGCTCTGACACAACAAACTTAATTCTAATATCTGTAAAATTGGCAAATTCTGGTTCTTGTTAATTGGCCATCTTGAATTGGGTTGACTCTGAAATTAAATCAGGCTGTAAACGCACGTCTGATGATTCATTTCTGAGTTTCATTACAATTTTTCCAGTGGTTCTCAATATATTTTCCTAAAGCTACAGGCAAACATGGGCATAAAACATAATCTTATAAACACGTTTTTTAAATGTCTGTTTTCTTGTTTTATGTTAATATGTAAGGACAGGGCTATTCAACTGGCAGTCCGCGGGCCACATCTGGCCCACCAGTGACCAAAGTTCGGCCCGCCAATTGGTTCATTCATCTCTTAAGCCCAAACCCCCGGTTTTCTACTTCAATTATTCTAAGTTCTTTTAGTTAAACATAGACATGTATGGTATCTACAGAAAGGTCAGAATCGTGGCTAGAAGCTGGTAAACACCATTTATATAAACACTCAAGACAGTTAAAACTACAAGCAGCTGAAGATAAAATGGTGAAAGTGAAAATAAAAATGGTTTAAAAATTTGGTAAGTCAGAGATGTTCAAACATTATTTGTGTTAAATAAGAGGCATAATGTGCTTTTTGTTTTTGATAATGTTTAATTATCACTACTTTTATAGGGTTCTGTATGTTGTATTCATGATTAAATGCAGCAAAATAAACCAATTCAAAGGTAACAGATTTCTGTAATACTTGGTTTATTTACATAATGACTAATTGCTGGATGTTCGGCCCCTGCAGTAACTGTGGGCCCCGGAGCAGTTTAGATGAATAGCCCTGATGTAGGATGAGACAAGCCAAGAATCTTTGTTTGTTTTTGTAGACAAAAGCAAGCAAGCCGTACATAGTATAAAATGATTTTATAGTTAAATCAGATCATTTGTTTCATAGTTGCATAAAATATAAAGCAAGTGGGAACAAATGTATCTGCCGAACATAAAAAATAAAAACTGCACTCTTTGGTGTGGTCTCCATTCCGACTCCATTCACAAAGGCAGAACATTTTAAACACACAGTCTCACACACAAACTATAAAATAATACTTTACGTGCAACAACCGAGCTCAGTTTTTCCTGCTGGGTTTGTCCCCACTCTCGAGTCGGAGGGRGGTGTTTCCTCCAGCGGCCTCAGCAGCAACATCAGGCGTCACCCTGCTCCGAGGGAGCTTTCAGGGGAAGTCTTCACAAACGGCAGAGACACAGCTGGAGGCAGCGACACCACACATCCACTCAGAGCGCAAAGAACAGCAGGAAAGTCTGCTCGTGCTCATGCAATACAGAACAGGAAAGAATAAACGACGGTAGGCTGTGTTGGATCGTCACATGGCAGAATTCTGTTGTTGTTGTTGTTTTTTACATTAATCTGCAGCTGTAAGACAGAATAGGTCTAAAGGTGCTTTRAGAATACAAAACCTGTATAAAAACCTAATTTTTAACCAACATGCTGAAATAAATAAGAACAGAGGATAAAAAAATGTTTCCCAGCTGCCAACACAGATTACAGTTTTCCTACATAGTGTTTTTTTTTCTCATCCAGGATCAGTACTCGGTCGGGAATGACTGTCACTTTCTGAAGTTGAAAGTCTCACGTTACTGTGCCATGTACCCCTTGGCTTTCTCCAGCCCCTCTTTCAGGAAGCTGATATAAGTGGACGTGGAGGGGTCTTCGAACCCCGCYGAAAAACTGAAAGCTGCTCCTTCATCCTCTGGTTTCATGGCTGTCTGGTCCAGGAAGTAGTTAGCATTGATGTGGTGGACCTAGAAAAGACAGATACAATCTTTTACTGTGACTATTTATGTAATAGGGCGGTAATTACCTCAAGATACAATAAGGAGCACRGCAGTAAAACATTTTGACAGTAATGAGGACAATTTTACCATTAGTGGTCATCGATTTCTGCTGTGTTAACTGTGGGGATTCATGAGGCATTCAAAAGAAGCAATGTTTGTGTTAAACATTAAGTATTTTCTTATAGTATAAAAACAAAAGTAAAAGCTGTATTTACAATGGTTCCATTGGGGAGTGCCACCATCATCTCTACAGGGAAATTGTAATTTTCCAGGTGTAGGCGGGCCTTTTTACTCAGAGCAGGTTTCTGCTCGTCAGCCTGCCAAGTAAAAACAAAAAAAACACAATCTTTGTTATTACTTGGTTATCAGTAGCTGCTTATTGTCTGGTTCAACCGAAGGCTCACCTGCAGGCTCTCCAGCTCTTTGACCAGAGACCAGCTGCTGATGAAGCTCTGGTTGAGCAGAGCCAGAACGGGCGAACTTTCCAGGACTGTCTCCCGGAGAGTTCGCCCCGAACCTGTGGACGATATGAGGAGGACACGAAGATGGAAAAAAAAATCACGAGAATCCATCACTAACAGGATTTTTTTTGCAACCAAGAGTGCTACTCTTTTATCGCAGCCTGCAACGTGAATTTATTGATTTATTCTATTAAAAGAAAAGAATATCTGAGTTGAAAAAATATCTCTTTAATGATGACCTCACCTCAGCAAGACTGGTCGTCTAAAGCTCCCCAGAGCAGGATTGAATGCACCAGCTTCTTCTCTGCCTCAGCTCGCTCAAAAGCCTCTGAAAAAGGAAAGTAGGGCACCTAAAAAAACACACACAGTGTCAACAACAAAGCAACTGTGAAACAGCACTGGTGATTTCTTCAGTCTCCTGTAGAGATTTACCTTCTTAAAGGGGTAGAGGGTCACCTCCAAGCGTCTAAAAGCTTCCTCTTGACTGATCTCYGAACTCCAGTGAATGTCCTCAAAAACAAACTGGATCGGCTCGCCGCCGCCGCCGGCACGACTGTCGATTACATTCCCCTCCTCATCCACGATGGTGGACGGCGTGGATGGGCCTATCGACTGCAGCTCCAACTACGAAAACATGTCATCAACAAACTAACACAGAAGCAATAACTAATAAAAAGCTGTAAGGGTAACTTTATATCTGCAGCTGTACCTGTGGCAGGTACCCGATGTCTACCTCCATGTTGCTGCTCTCACTGGCTCCGTACAGCCACTCCATGTCCACGTTCAGAGACCTGCAACKCACAGCTCGGGTCACACAGGAACTGATAACAGGACCCAGTCGACAGGCAGAGGCTTACCGCTCATTYGGGACGTAGAGGTGGAAGTGGCGGACGTGAGAAGCATCTTTCGAGAGGACYATGTTGCCGGTGAACTGTCCCGGGGTGAACCAGAAGGGGAAGTTCGGAACATCGTTGAGCTGGAACTCTGCGTGAATCCTGCCGGGCGTGGAGAGACGAAACAACTCAAGACTTTAAAGTCTGTTAAAAAAAAGCTCCACGAAACCAGTGTTGTAGAAAGTACCTCAAAGTGATACGTGAGTAAAAGTACAAGTATCTTATCAGGAAATTACTTTGGTAAAAGTTAAAGTCTCCTCCGAGAGTATTACTTGAGTAAAAGCCTTAAAGTATCTGATTTTTTTTGTACTTAACTATTGAAAGTAAATTTCTGACATAAAATGTACGTATTAAAAGTAAAAGTATTGAGTAAAAATGAGCAGTTAGGTTTTCCAAAATGACATTTATTGGGA